AAAAAAAAAAACTTATTTATGCATTCAAAAAGTGAGGTACAAGCCAGAGGTGTGTGTGTGTGTTTGTTGGGAGTGAGGGGGTTGTGTAAGAAGATTCACCTGCGACAGAGTGGGAAGCAGAACAGTCTGGCTGCATGCATGTCCTGTTTCTCAGGTGTTCTGGCCCCCAGTTTCTCAAGTAGACTGTGTGTGACTCCTGAGCTCTTTTCTCTAGCCCAGCTGTCTCTTTCGGAGTGTCCCATCAGGAATCAAGTGTCAACTACCTGTCCCATGAGTTACGTGAATTTTCACATGATCAACCCCCTGGGATGAAAGCACCCCACGAGGTGCTATAAGAAAGAGAGATGAAGCGGGACAGGACACCGCCCATAAGCAGATGCGCATGTGGGCAGGAAGGTGTGGGCCTGTAGATCCCTCAGACCTCCTGCCTCCTCTCCCTGTTCTCTCCACTAATGTTCTTTGTTTTTACTACACTGAAGGACTGACGATCGGGCAAGGTAAAGAAAATAGGTTCTGGCCCCACACACAGGAGATTCTGACTTCACAAGTGTTGGTGAGTGGACCTCTAGGAATCATTTCTTATAAGCGCCACAGGGGGTTGTGATGAATCTCTACATTCTGAACCCACTGTTTAAAGGATGTTTGTGTATTCAGTATTAGCCACTGCGCACTAGCCTTGTATAAGGTACTGTAAATATAGCTGTTTTAGTCACCTTGGCAACTGTACAACATAATCTGCTTTCCTGTTACCAGCTCTTTTTTATTTTTAAAGATTTATTTATCTGTGCATACAGAATTGGGGTATAGGACAGAGGTGCAGGGGCGGTGAGAGGCTTCACCAGAGACAGAGCGGGGAGCAGAACAGGCAGATCATCAAAGTACATTGCTGAGGGGAGCGGCGGGCAGGTCAGGAGAGGTCTGCCGCGCCAAGTGGATCACCTCCGGGGCAGGCGGGGATTGAACTCATGCGGAAGTGGCTTAGCTTCTTAGCACTGTATGTAGTGCTGTGCTTTAACCCACTGCGCCACCAGGGAGGGCCATAAGCTCCTTTTAAAGCCAAGCCCTCCTATTTCCTCTCACCTTCTCAAAAACATAACTTTTAAGAATTCACCTTCCTTGCTCCTATTACTAATTTTTACTTCTTGCTTAACTATTTCTGTTGGCAAGCAAACATATTTTTTCTCCCATGTTTTGTTTTAAAAAACTAACCAAAAATAAAAAATCTTAACCTCCTCCCCATGATGCTCAAAGTGAGGAAGAATTAGAAATACAGAACCCTGGTGCTCTCTGGTGGCGCAGTGGGTTAGGAGGCAGGACTGCAAGATGGCTGCAGATGCTCAGTGCATTTGATCCCTGGCAGGGAGGTGATCCACATGGCATGGTGGACCTTTCCTCGCCCTCCCACTGCTCTCCTCAGCAGTGTACTTCGATAACATGCCTGTTCTACTCCCCACACTATCTCTGATGAATCCTCTTACCGGCCCTGCACCTCTGGCTTGTACCCCAGTTCTGTGTGCATAAATAAATCTTAAAAAAAAAAAAAAAGAATTAAAAATACAAAAATTCTTTGGTAATTACTGATGGCACCTGCCTCACGGACTATTTACTATGAAAATATTGCAAAATAATGAAGATTTTCTCCAGCCTGGTAGTGAAGAATTTTATCATCATGCAGTTAAAGCTCTTCTTTACAGAAAAGTATGTCCAGTGAGATAAGCTGATTCAGACAAACATCAAAAATGGCTGGCCTCCCTGGTGGCATAAGGGTGTAAGTCTCAGCCTTATGAAGCTATCGGTAGCCACTGCAGCTCTAGTTCAATCTGTGGCCAGGGAGCTGACCCACAGGGTACAGCAGATCTCTCGTCTCCCCAAGACTGCCCTCAGCAGTGTGTTTCAGTCAATCCACCTGTTCTACTCCCCACTCTGCCTCTGGTGAATCCCCTCATCTCCACACCTCTGGCCTGGCCTATACTCCAACTCTTGTATAAATGAGTAAAATAAATCTGAAAAAAAAAAAAAAAAAATGGGTAGGCCTAAACCCAACCTCATAAAGCAGCGCCTGTCACAGTGGATCCCTCTGTCCCTGAGGCCTGCCCCTCTCCTGGCTAGGACGGTCTACCTCATTCCTCATCCTCACTCGAGATTCTTTCAGGCTCCTCTCGTCACTGAAGCTCAGTTCACAAACAGCGCCAGGGCTCAGCGTTTGATCCTCCTCCTCTTTACACACACTCCTACACCCCATTTCAAAGTCCAGTTCTGCAGTGACTTTTATCTCTGGCCCAGACCTGAATCCCAAATGGCATATCATTTGCATTTATTTCCAAGCAGATGCCCGACAATTGTCTACCTCTAGTTGGGCATGTCCAAGATCTAACTCATTTTCTCCCTGACTTCATCCCAACTGACCAACCTTATTTCATGTGAAGGCCATGATCCCCTAGCAAAAGCCTAGTTGCTATAAGCCCCTCTCCCCCTCACACCCTTAAGTTCCCTAAGTAAATGATCTTGTTCATCAGCCCTTCAAAGTACATCCAGACTCCAACTACCACCCCCCACCACCGCTCCCACCTTGTCCTAGCTACCGTCACTTCCAGCCTTGATTACTGCTGAGGTCTGTCCGGTACCCCTGCTGCTAAGCGAGGCCAGAGAACAGCAATGGTCCTTTGAAAACAGAAGTGAGGTAGTGTCTCCATTCATGCAAACCCTTCAAGTTTCTCCTCCCTCACTCAGCCTAACAGCCCAAGCTTCACGCCATGCTTCCTTGTCTCCCTGTGGTCCTCACCTGCATGATGCTCTTCTCCACTAGTCACCAGTATGCTTGCCTCTCTGCTGTTCTAACTCATCAGGTAGTTCTTATGATAAAAGCATTTATGCTGCTGCTTCCCTCTGCCTGGCACACTTCCCCAGGTTACCTACATGGTAACTCCCCTACCCTCCCCCAGATCGTGGTCAGATGTCATGGTATTAGGGTCTACCGTCATCATTTAAGGTTACAACTTGCCCTTCCAAATCTAGCCCTCCCTCTCAACTAGTTTATCCCACTCTTCTCTCATGGACAAGTGCTCGTCACCGAGCAAAAATACAAACCACACCATTTACCTGTGATATATATTTTAACTATCTACCTCCTCTCCTAGGATGGACACCCTGCAAAGACAGGGATCTTTGTCTCTCCTTCCACAGCAGCGCCTAACTGATCAAGTGCTATGTGTCAAAGACAAAGAGATGAAACGCCTCCCCCAGGAGCGGGCGGCTCCAAGGGAGCAGAGGTCTTTCTGCAGTGGACTTGGCCACCTCCCTCGTCTCACACGGCACCTCTCCTTTCAGTACTTTCAGCCACACTGGCCTTACTTCCCGACTTCAGCAAGATCATGCCATCCTAAGGCCTGAGTTCACATTGCCTAGAATATGCTCTCTCTGCTGGCATGGCTTAACCCTCCTCACTATTCAGGCCTCTGTTAAATTTCTTTTCTCCTGAGCAGTTTCTCTGCTATCCAATATACCTGATATACCTACTCAGTTGCTTTCTTAACGCATCACCCTGCCTTATTTCTCCCTAGAGCCTTTATTACCTAAATCTTGTCAATTATTTGTATTTTTAAAAAGTTTAATTTATTTATGCATAGAGAACTGGGGCACAGGCCAGAGATGCAGGGGCAGTGAGAGGCTTCACCAGAGACAGTGTAGGGAGCAGAGCAGGCAGATCGACGAAGTCCACTGCAGAGGGGAGCAGTGGGAGAGAGAGGAGAGGTCTGCTGTGCCATGTGGGTCACCTCCAGGGCCAGGGATCGAACTTGCACTGGAGTGGCCATGGCTAGCTTGCAGTGCTGCATCCTAACCTGTTGCACCACCAGGGAGACCTCAACTATTTTTAATGGCTGCCTTCACCCACCCTATCAAATTTATACACACACCACAAAAGCAGGTATCACAAAATAGAGACCTGACTGTTCTAGCACCTGGAACAGGGCCCGACGTAGAACCTGTGCTCAGTAAACCCTTGCTAGATGGACAGAGGCAAGTGAACTGAGCCCTGTGGGTGGACAGGATTTACTCTTTTCTTCCAAAGGGCACTGAGCTGTCTCTGGGGACCTTTAGGATGTCAGCCCACAAGAGAAGAAAGTGACTCTGGGCCCTCCCTGGTGTCACAACAGGTTAGGACACAGCACTGCAAGCTAGCCACAGCTGTTTCAGTGTGAATTCGATTCCCAGCCCTAAAGGTGATCCAAATGGCGCAGCAGACCTCTCCTGACCTGCCCGCTCCTGCCCTTGTCAATGTGCCTATTCTGCTCCCTGCTCTGTCTCTGGTGAAGCCTCTCACTGCCCCTACACGTCTGGCCTGTACTCCAGTTCTGTATGCATAAATAAATAAATAAATCTTAAAAAAGACAAAAAAACCAAAAAAACAAAGTGCCTCTGTTTGGAGTGGGGGTGAGAAAGATCTTTACCTCTGAATGGTCTCTTCCTGTTCCTTAACCATGTGTGCCAACTGCTGAAAGATGGAGCCCAGCTCGACAATCGTAGACTCAATGTTCTGCATGGTATCTGCCCGGCTCTGGATGTAGGAATCCTTCAGGAAAGAGAGCACTGTGAGCTTCTTCAGGGTAGGTCCTGGGAAGGACCCTCCCAACCTGCCCACGGCACGCTCCTGCTCACAAACCCCAGCAGCGCAACTCCTCCCTCGCTGTGGGCTTAGGTACCTGCTCATCAATGAGCTGCAGCTGCTGGCTGGTCCGCGAGTCCATCATATCGATGGCCACGTCCCCAGAGGAACGAGACTCTGCCCCCAAAACCACTGCGCCACCTCCTGGGGGAAGAAGACATGGCATAGCTCAATGGTTAAAAGTAGGTTCTAAACCCACATACTCTGATTTGAATCCCAGCTCTGGCACTTACTAGCCTTGTGACCCCGGACAAGTCATTTAACCTCTCTGAGGTTCAGTTTCCTCACCTGTAAAATGGGGACAATGATAGTTGCTTTCTCAAAGAGCGGTGGTGAAAATTAAATGAGTGGGAATCAAGTAAATAAGTGTATCAAAGTACCAGAAACTGTCATTTTTCTGAACCTGACTGAATCACCCCCAACAGTGAGAATGTGGGAAACTAGATGTGGTCATGAATCCCAGCAAGCAGCTTGACCTCTGAGAGATTAAGCCTAACAATTTCCTTGCCCCTCCACTCTTCTATCTGACCCCCACCTTTAGTGGATGCTGTCACAACCAGAAAAACTAACTTGTGCCCCTCAGGCCTTCCCGTATTGCCTGGGACTTACCCAGGTGGTTGGGAGCAAGGGGCAGGGCTGACACGGGCGCCCGAGAGAATTGTTCCCGCCGGTTTCTCTGCTGCTTCAGGTTCTGGGGAAGACACATAAAGGTTGTGAGGCTTCTGGAGGAATCATGCACAGAAATCCCCCGTCCGCCCATACTCTGTTCCCTTTTCTTTTCACTTATCCCTTGCCAATTTCCCTCTTTGGGTCCTTTCCCCCTGACTCCTACCCCTCCCATATAGTTTTCTCACCTCTGTCCTCACTTCTAAAACTGATTTGAAATCATTGGACATGGAGGCCAGTTTTGACTAGAAGAAAAGGACAGCATGTCAGACAAAGAAGACACTACCTTCTTCCCTCTGCTCCCCTACCTCTCAGGGCTCACCTGCAGGGAGACCACAATAGTGTTGGAGTGGGTTTGCAGGTGCCGGCCACTCTGGCTGCCCTTCGCTCTCACGAAATCCTGAAGCTGGGCGATTTGTTTATTGAGGCTATTAATGTCCTGGTGAAAGAGTCAACAGAAGAGCATGTCAGCTGAGGAGTCCTCACCCAGCACCTGTCCCACATGGACACCTTGGTCAAGATGAAAGTTACTAGCAGGGGTGAGGTGTCTCAGACTGTCAAAACCAAGAGCCTGCTGGGACTTCCTGAGTCCTGGAGTTTGGACCAGAAGTCTCTGCAGAGAAGAGTTAGGAAGAGGGAAAATGTGATCTTATCTATTTACAGATGACCCACTCACCCTTCTACCTTACTGCCCTAGTCTACCCTGTGAGGCCATACACATAGTCTTGAACCTAAAAGGCTAGAGGTGCTGACAAAGCATCTGTGCAATACTTGGGAGAAGGGAAGAGTCAAGAGCACCATGGTTTTTCAAGATCACCCATGAGATTATTTCCATATATACAGAACTCCTTTTTTTTTTTTTTTTAAAGATTTGTTTACTTATATATACAGAACTGGTGTACAGGTCAGAGGTGGAGGGGCAGTGAGAGGATTCACCAGTGACAGAATAGGGAGCAGAACAGGGAGATCAATGAAGTACACTGCTTAGGGGAGTGACAGGTGAGTCAGGAGAGGGCTGCTGTGCCATGTGGATCACCTCTGGGGCTGGAGCTTGAACTCACAATGAAGCAGCTACTGCCAGCTTGCAGTGCTGCACCTTAACCCTCTGCGCCACCAGGGAGGACCTCTAGGCTCCTATTCTGAATAACTCACCCCCCACACTTAATTCCTTGGTAGGTGTTACTATTATCTGATGCATTTTCTGTTTACTTGTATGGTGCCCAGTTCACTCAACCAGAAAGGAGGTTCCCAAAAGCAGGGGCCACATTTATTTTGCATCAAATGCTGTTATGGACACTGGGGACATATCTGTGAATAAGCAGAGAGAAAAAGTTGCTATTCCTATGGCTTGCAGTGTTTTGTCCTTTTTCTTGTGAGGGGAATAAGACAGGTGGAAGAAACAAAAAACAGGTGGAAGAGACAACAATAAACACAAGAAGTATGCTATAGTGAATGAGAAGAGTATCAAGTGCTATTGAAAAAAAACTAGAGCAATTACCTTAAGGGAGATGAGCGTTTGGGGGACTAAAGAATCAATAGCATATTAGGGTGAACCTCCTGAACACGTGAGCAAGACTTCAACTTTCCCTTTCACAGGTCATGCCTCTGAGCATACCACATTCTCTGTCTGGAATGTTCTTACACAGCTTCTAAACAAGCCTTGAAGCCAGCTCAGATTTTTACCCCCCTATAATAGTCTTCCCTGTGTCCCCGGATGATCTCAGACATCTTTTGGTTAAGATAATTTCTGTACCACTTGCCTCCTACACTTTGGAAGGACTGGGTACCCTTTCTAGGTGATGAACCCTTGAAGACAGGCATCTCACATGTTTGCAAGGCGAGTGCCGGGCGCACAGTACTTTCTACATGGCAGCTGATCAGTGTTTACTAACTGAGTGCAGTGAAAGGATGTTTGGAACTGGCTCTAGCACTTGCTCTGGGCTCCATGGCCACAAAGTAATATAAGTGATCTTACTGGGCTGCCACATGCTCCACAGATTGCAGCTCACCTGTTTGATGATGTAAGTTAACTCCTCAATTTCCACTGCTTTATCATCAAAGAGGGACTTGCGTTTTGCCACTGCAGAGACAAACAAGAAGCCAGGAGAGGTGAGGTCAAAGATAAGACGTAGGCAACACGGTTCCTCAGACTTCTCTGGAAGTGCCCCAAGGACACTCACAGATTGTCAGCTTCTCCAGCTTGGCAAATGTGTTGCTGAGGTCTTTCCCAATGCGCCTGTAAATGAGCATAAGGAGAACACTGTGGGAAAGGGCAGGAGTTGGCCTATGTCCATACTAGTTCTGGTGCTATGGACCCCAGACTTCCCAGCCCAGGCCACCATAGGCAAGCCCACTTCTCCCCAGACACCATACTAGCTCCTGCCCACACTCCCCAATTCCTCTCAACTCACTTGGCCATAAGGGTGAATTCACTGCGCTGCCTGACAGCACGCAGAGCTGGCTTGTTTGTCTGAATTCCATTCTGAAAAACAACATCAAGAGAGATGAAATTTCAGTTCCCTCTCCCCATTTCGGCTTCATCGTCACTGAGATGTCCACTAAGCACTAGTACTGTGGCATCCTCCGCCAGACAGTTGCTAACAAAAGCTGAGTAGTTACAACGATTAAAAATATAACTACCAAGGGGGACGTGTGAGAAGTAGACAGCAAGAGGGTAGGAGACCAAGAATCTGATTTTTAAAAAAGTACTCCAAAGTAGTTTTAATAGAAATCACTTAGCAAATTTATCTTAAGGCAATTGAAAACTGGGACCACCTAGATTAATAACCTCAGAGTCACAAAACAAAGTTGACCTAGATACACGCCAGGAGAATTTAAGGGGCAGATCTCAGCTAAAGGCTCTTTCTAGAACCTGTTACTTATCCAGACCCAATATGGTGTACTCACTGCTACCCTGTGGTATTCCTTCCAGAACAGTCAAGTCACCCTTAGACATTCCTTACACATATCTAGACAGAACCTTGCTTCTAGAGAGCAAAGCTCCCACTTCACCCTGCCCTCTCCAAGTCAGAGGGGTTCTCCCCTAGCTACCCCCAAGAATTTTTCCAACAGTGTTGGAGCACAGCCTTCCCCTCCCCCTCCATCCGAGCAAGGCTGGCTCCAGTCCTTACCTGACGGCTCTGCAGGGACTTGCAGGCAGACAGGAACTCCTGAGTCCGATCCCGGCAAGACATGGTGTCGGGAGGGGGAGGGGCCAGGGTCACTGGGGGGGGCTGAGGGGAGATGTCGCTGCTGCTACTGCCAGCAGTTGCAGGGGACAGGACCTGTGTCTTTGAGAGACCCAGGTAGACACCCTGATCCGTGTTCTTAGACCCGTAGCGTTTCCGCGGGATCATTGAGACGCATAACCTCGGACTGTGGTGGAGGGAAGAGTGTCATTTCCCAGGCAGCTTCCGTCCCCACAAATTCCACTCGCACACACCGCCCCCCCCCCAACAAATCTTCGGGCCCCGACTGCACTTGGCACGGACTTTGGCGCTCAAAGCCACCCGCAAATCCTGGGGCGGGAACGCAGCGGGAAGGGCCCAGTCAGCCTCGGGCCCCAGCCGTCCCCCTCCTCAGACTCTTGTTCCAACTTGGCTTTGGCGGCCGGAGTGCGGGCCGGGGGTCCTGGAGCAGAGGCAGGGCCGGAGCCAGGTCCCGTGGTCCAGGAAATCCACGCCGGCCTGTGAAACTGCCCCAGGGCCTAACTGGACCCGCTAGTCCCCATCTGCTCCTTCGGCTCCTCAGAAAAAAACGGCGACGGACCTCCGAGGTGAACACACTTCGGTGGGCGGAGGGGGGAATTCTAGGTGTTTATTTGAAACAGGAAGTCCCACCCCTGTCCAAGTCCCGCCCACTAAGGGACTACAAACACTGATTAGCTAATGCCGGCGTCGTTCTCCACATGAGCATTTTTGATTGGACGGTGCGGTATTCGCTCACTCCGAGCCGGGCCGTCAGGACTTGCCCGCTCGTCCCGGGTTCCCTTCCCCACCGCCCGTCGCCTTCCCCACGGAATCGCTGCCCGGAGCACCAACGGCGACCAAACCCCTTTAGAACGAATCTTACCTCCTTTTTACCGCCTGCCGCTGCCACAATCTCCAAAGTGGTCACCTCCTCCTCCCCGGGCGCCGTAGCCGCCGAAACCCGACCAAAGATTAAGAAGCAGCCACGTCACCCACACGTAACCCCACCCCCGGTGACGGGGCGGTGCCACGCCTTTTCGAGCCCGGCTACCCGAGGTACACGCCCCCCGCCTAATGCCAGAGCGACTCCGCTCTCCTATTGGGTAGACCGTCCCAGAGGCCCCGCCTCTGAGGAGCCAGAGCCGAATCCCAGGGGTCCGGCGGGCTTCAAGGGAGGAGCCTTAAAGAGCCCGCCGCCCCGAGGCACAGGCTACCTGGGAGGGCAGCAGATTTAAGATTGGGCAGGTACAGGTTAGAAATTTTATTCTTTGGAGGCTGGGGCTGGCTGAGACCAGGGGAGGGGTCACCCCTTCTCTGGCTCCTCCGTGATGTCCTCCGGCTTTTTCTCCAGAACTGCACTCGCCCGCTTTTGACTTTGGCATGATGGCCTGCTGGACCGCGAGGAACCCCGACGACTGAACATGGAGAGCCGCCGCCACAGCACGGTGATCAGGAGGCTTTCGTTCGACTTGTGTTTGTGATGCTCCCCCTCTTTCTCCTTGGCCTCGTCCGAGCCTGAGGCGAAGACCCAACCCCTGAGTGCCCGTCCCCTCCCCCTGGACCACCCTCTCCCCTTGCCTGGGCCCCCTTTGTGTCTCCTCCCACCTTCCTCTGTGTCTTCCGAGTCAGCCTCCTTGACCTGCTCATCAGAGGTCTGAAAGTCTTTGTCTTGGCAGCAGCCCATGGCCCTGCGCTGGCCCCGCACGACCCCACACTCCTTGACCCCTGGAGCGGGCTGCCCCGCCCTCACCCCGGCTTTTGTGACGTCAGCCATGCCGCCATGCCGACTCTAGGCAGGGCCCCTGGCCGATTCCCCATCTCTCAGAAGGCTCAGGGTCAAGTGGGTGGTGAGCTGTTTATTTACAAACTGAACACAGGCCCTTCAGGGGCTGGTGGACCCAGGGCGCTTCTTCTTTCTCCGTCTAGTCTGGAGAGCCTCTTGGGTGGGCTCCAAACCAGGGCGCTTCCTTTTAGCAGCTGCCTCCAAGGTGGCCCAAAGCTCATCTGTTTCTGTGTCTTCTGGGGGCAACTTGCTGGGCTCTTGAGGCTCTTGGGGCTCATCCTAGTAAGGGGGAGAGATGCATGGGAGCTGGGCACAACAGCCAGGCAGGAAAGCACTCTGGATAAAGAAGGATCCCTCCAAGCACAACCCCATTTCATCTGTTTCAAGAGACCATTCAAATACTGCTCCCATGCCACCCCTGGCAGTAACCCTGGCACAGCTGTACCTAGTAACACCCCTGAGACGAATGGAGTAAGTTGGCAGGTAAACAGACAACTCTGGGTCTGTTCTAATGACTTTTTCTTTTCTTAGGGAAACCCTCACATCTATGCCCTTGACTCCCACATCCCCAGACCCAGCTACGGGTCCACAAATAGCATCATTTCCTTTCAACCTTTTTCTTATGGCAGTGAGGAAAACAATTGTGATCCAAACTTTAAAAAAAAAAAAAAATTATTGGAGAACATGCTTTTGTTATACATTCTGTGATCAAAGTCAGTTTCTAAGAACCGATTGCTGATGCTAAGTGAGCTGTACTTACCTCCCAGTTCTCCCTGCCTGACAGGAGAAGGCAGTTCAATTGAGACTTGAGATAAACCTGCAAAAGATGAGGGCCTTCAGGTCTCCAGCACATGCTTGAACAGAAAATGAACAAAGAGAGGCTCAGGAGGTAGCGGGCTCTCACCTTGTGCTCTAAGCCCCGCGGAGTCTGGATCCTGTGTACCCTCAAGACTCTGTCCAAGCCACAGGAGGCCAGCAGGGGCTTTGAAGGGTGGCATTGCAACCCTCGGACACTGCCTGCCAATCCCTTCAGACAGCCCAGGAGGCGCCCTGAGAAGTGAGGAGACATCGCAAGAACAGCAGTCAACAACCATTTACTGAGTGTTTACTGCTCAAGTGACTTTCACATCTCAGTACTTAATCCTGAAAAGACCCTGAGAGGAACTACCTTTAATATCTCCACTTTTCAGATGAAGTAATGGGAAATTGAAGTGATCTGTCCAGAGTTCTGTTGCTTGAGGTAAACCAAGATTTGAACCCTGGGATCTGACACCTGAGTGCCATAGCCTCTGAAGAAACCGTGCCCTGCCCTCCCCTCCCTTTGCCTTCCTGCTCCACTCACCTTGCCGAAGGTCAATTTCTGCCAGCTGCCCATGAGTGTTCCCCACGATCACAGAACTAAGGAGATCAGAGGCAGGTGGGGTCAGCAGGGGGAGCCTTCCGGGTCCTTCCCAAGCCTAACTCCTTGCCCCTAAACACTCACTTGCCCCCAGGAGTGAGAGTCATGGCTGTCAGTGGATACTCTCCGTAGGAGGTCTCTAGAACTGGCCGGCGCTGTGGGGAGGCTGGATCATAGACACGGACCTGGAGGGGAGACTGAGGCATCACAGGACTGTCCTCATCCCACAGGCCCCTGTGGCTGCTTCATATCTTCACTGCCTCCTCCATCTACTGCTTTCTCGATTAAGATCCATGCTTAGAGATAATTTTCTCATTTGAAAGTACCTTCTTCTGAGTGGTGAGGCTGGGGGTGGAGAACTGCACAGGAGCAGAAATGTAGAGGGTTGAAGGAAGAGCTCCCCAGGTCAGCGGTGGTAGACTTACTTGGGCTGCATGTGTAAGCATCCCATCTGCCTCACCCTCCATTCTCAAGATGAAAAAGCAAGTCAGCCCAACTGCCAGAGTGGAGTGAATTCCAAATGAAGGAAGTTCAGGGAGGAGAGGAAGCTCTTGCATGTTGAGCAGAGAGAAATGGCCAAGATCAGATTTAACATGCCTGAGTAAAGGAAATGGTGGAACCAGCAGCCCAGTGCTGACTGTGTCTTTGAACTTCAAATGCAAACAGCTGTAAAGATCTCCAAGTGGGCCCTTCCTGTAGAAGCTGGGAGCTGACGCCAGAGAAGAGTATGTGAGGCCTGAGCCCCAAAGAGAATGAGAAGCTATGTTGAGCCTAGTTCCTTCAATACCTGGTCCAGTGTCCTCTGCTGCTCTATACCCTGTGATCTCACTGGGTGGGGGGGGGACATTCCCTTCTCTCTTCTAGGTGGAAAGAAAAGGAAGACTTATAGTTCAAGAGACTCCAGCCTGGAGTGTAGTTGGAGAGCTCAGCAAGGAGGCTGAAGGTGGGGGAAGAGCTCCCTCTGCCGGGGCTTGGAGGTACAAGACTAGTAGGGAAGGGACTGGGAGACTTTCTCTAAGAAGCTGCTAAAGACTAGGGGAAGGTGTGGGTAGAATGGGCATCTCACCTGGTGGTATCCTGTGCAGGTGACAAGCTTCTGTGATTCAGGGAGGAACTGTATATCCTGGTCCCAGATGGGAACGCGCAGGTCGAGCCAGTCATTCCGAACCTAGCAAGGTGGGTAGATGGGGCACAGGGTTGGGGCAGAGGGGAGGGCTCAGTGTGTTGTGCCCTTTCAGGCTTCCCTCACCATCTCTTGAAGACCACCTGGTCTCAGATTCCTAGTCAGTGGTCTGGGCCTCCCTGACCCTTGGGTCCATGCCCCTTCCCAGCTCTATCACTCACATTCTTGGCCCTGAACACAGGCTCCTCAGATCCTTGCAGGTCCCACACTTTCAAAGCGTTCTCCTTTCCACCTGTGGCAACCACATTGGGGCGCACTGGGTCTTGGCGCATCCTGCATACCCCAGGACCCACACTCAGTTCCAGGAGCTTAAGGAAGGTAAGAATGGGAATGAGTCAGTCTGAGCCCTCAATCCTCCTCCCCAAAGCCCTCATTTGGCTCCTGCCCTGGCTTATCTCCCCTTTCCCAAGCATCGGAGTCAGGGCAGGGGAGCCTCACCGGGTCAGGGGATGCTTGCTTGTCATTATCAGGCCAGATTCGGAGAATCCCAGAATCCACACATGTGATGAGGGTGCTATGGGTAGAAGGAGGACAGATTCAGGTGAAAAAGTTAAAACTGAAGTGTGTAAGTGTCCAGTCCACTCTGAATTCATATTAAACGAGCCTCCATTTCACCAACCCATTTCTAGGGTAACCCGGGCCGAAAAGGCCAAGCAGCCTCCAGCTTCCCTGTCAATTCATAGAATTTCCTCAACAAGATAATAGGCTGCTAATTTTATAACAGAAAACTGAGGCTGTAAGAAGTTAAAAGACTTGTACACTCAGCTGTACATGGCAGAACCCAAGCTGGAAATCAAATCATGGCCCTCTATCACAGAGTGCCAGTGCTGTTTATTCTGCAACTACAGCTGGGGTCAGCTACTGGTCTTTATGACTCCTTGGTTGGACACCAAGGGTCAGGATCAGTGTCTCTGAAAGGAGTCAATGGGACTGGTCTGGATTTGGGCTTTGGCCAAAATCAAACACCAGTTTCTTCTCTCGAGTTCCCCATTCTAAGTTCTGGTTCCTAAGATTCAAATGAGAGTCCTCAAAGCATCCCTCCCATGCAGCCCAAGCAAAGTGCTCCCAGGATCTATGCCGCTCTGGCCCATATGCCTTCTCACATCTGTCCACCCTCCCACCTTGGTTCAGGTTCTATCCCTTGCCTGGGCTATGGCAACTGGCTCCCAAATGTTCAGTCCATCCTCCCCATTCCTACAGGCTCACAGTCCTGACCACAGCATTGCTCGAGAGTCAGCAACTCACCACCACCACCACTACCTACAAAAGGAAAGGGCACAAAACTCTGCTTGGCATTCAAAGCAAAGTCCTTTACATTTAATCCCAACCTACCTTGCCTGTCTTATATTGGCTGTGATGCCCAAACGCCCATCTGTCTTCCCTAAACAATATCCTGTAGTCTGACACCACTCCTTGGCATCAGCCCATTCATTAACCTCTTTTTAGACTGCCCTTACCTCTATCTCCACCTGGATATTGTTTAGGGAGCCAGGAGGCCAACCCAGGGAGTGAGGATGCAAACCCAGTGATGGCAGGTACTATGTAGATACAGGTTTACTTGTGGCCCTTGCAACAAAGGTGGTAACTTGTTGGTGCTCAATAAATGTTTGTTATATGCATACAGCAGGCACAACTGGTCCTGTCAGCCCAGCTGGGCCCATGTCACCCGGGGCTGATGACCATAATTCGCCGTCCTGAGGGCGGCTCAACACTCTCCCTACAACCTGATTGTTCTCAAGGGGCTGGGTCTTACCCGTCCGCCTGGGCGAGGCCTCGAAATGTGCCCTCCCCTCCCGGGCAGTGCCTCTGACCCTGGAATCCGCCGTCCTCGGTACTGAAGCGCCTCACTGTTCTGTCAGCGCAGCCCACCAGGATCTGCGGGAGGAGGAGGGCGGGATAGCGCTGAGAAAGGTTCCTGGCCCGCCCCCCAGCTCGGCGCGGCGGCGGCTGCTCACCTGAGTCTCGCCGCCAGCGCCCCAACACAGGGCGCTCACTGCCTCCTCGCGCCGGGGCTGGCCCGCCGCCGTGAAGTTCGTCGCCTGTTTGCGCTGAAGGTTCACCCCTGAGGAACGCGGGCGTCAGTCGCGCCGGGGTCACGAGCGGGCCATCGGCTCCCGCATTGCCATACGCTCCGCCCCGCAACCCACCTTTCAGGATGCCAGTGTCGGTGCCGACCCACACGTGGTTCCAGCGCGCCCCGGCAGCCGCCATAACGCCGAGCCGAGCTGGCGGCCACTACTTCCGGCGCGGCTCGATGTGACGTCACCAGCGGGCGCAGAGCGACCCCCTTCTGGGCGGGGTGTAAAGGCCGGAAGAGCAGTGGCTGCCTGGTTCCGCCCCTTTGGCTTGACGGGCACGGAGGTGGGTTGGTGCTGGTGGGGGGCGAGTGGCCAAGGTGGCGGGTTCACCCTTGGAGTGGCCGCGTTCTGCCCGCGTCGCGCCGCCGCCGTAGGTCCCGTCGTCCCCTTTCGCCAAGACTCCTGGTATTTTCTGTGCGAGACGAGATCCACAGGCGCGAGCATGATGGGGAGCAAATGGGGAAGAGAAAACCCCGGGGCTTGAAACGGCCCTGTTTTGATTGGGGTGTCGGTTTTTTAAAAGATTTATTTATTTATGCATCCAAGAACTGGGGTGCAGGTCAGAGGTGCGGGGGCTGTGAGGGTGAGAGGGCTCACCAGAGACTGGGAAGCAGAACAGGCAGATCCACTGAGATACTCTGCTGAGGGGAGGGGGGAGCCTGGAGAAGTCTGTTGAGCCACGTGGGTCAGCTCTGGGATCCGAATTCAAGGTGCAGACAGCTTCACAGTGCTGAGACCTAGTCCCTCGTGCCACCAGGGAGGCGCTGGGGTGTTGTTTTTATTTCCTCACATTTAACTTGGATGATGGTAAAATTTAGCTCAAACCGAGAGTGAAAAATCTGCAAAGTTAACAATGTTTTCCCCATATTAAGCTGCAAGAAGCCGTGATTTTTAAGCTGTGACTTTCAAGAAGTCGCAGCGACCCCTGTCTTTTACTATGTTCTTACTGAAGAATTTTGTTCTCTGAAATCAGAAAATATCAGAAATTTTGGAAATCGATTATCAGAATCACTGTGGGCAAAAGAAACACAAAACCATAACGAACGGGTCTAAGTAAAAAAAAAGTTCTTGGATGCAACAGGGTGAAGGACGAGGTAGCCAGATCAGCTGGTAACCTTCCCACTCACTTTCTGGAGACAACATTCCAACAACTCTAAGCAATCCAGACTTGTTGAAAACCCAGTAAGCGGGAATGTTCTTATAAACCACAGGTTTAACGTAGTGTAAATGCCTCTAACAACTTAATGACATTGTCATTAAAATCCCCATGCTTGGTCCTTCCTCACAATGAAGAAATAAGCACCAATTGTAAGAACTACACAGGTGCCAGTTAGAATATGTAAGTGGCAATACACAAGTCTTTTATTTACCACAGGATAAGTTTGGGGCACACCACTGCTGGAAATACTGCAATACCTGGTTGATGCTTGGAATAGAAAACGCAAGCCCTTATTCATCTTTCTAAACACAAAAATACACTTAATATATTGCTCTCAAATGAGAACATATGAGATATTAAACTGATGAGAACAGATACTACACTTGATCTTAACCAAAAGGCCGAGAAGCAATACTGTAACTGCGTCCTTCCAGCCAGCCTTACCATGGTCATAGCCTTAACGGTTATGGTGACTACTTTGGCCTTATGCCTGAGCTACTTTTGGAGAAATACTTCTCCTAAATTAAAGTTTTATTATTATTTCTTCATTGTAATGGCTATTTTTTAAAAGAAATGTTGAACAGGCCGTTATTTTCTCCTGTCAGTGCCTGGCACTGTGTATTTTGCATAACCCCTTTTAGAGTCGCGATCTGTCACCTCCTCGCAGTGATTGTGAAGGCCGCACTCTTTTTCATTCAGATCTTGGTGTTACTCTACCTGTAGGCTTTTATGCGTTCTTGCTGGAGGCCACGGGTGCTCTTGCTTAGCTGGTTGAAGCTGGGGCACAGATAACGCCCCTTTCAGGGTCATTTATTGGAGCACAAAGAACTGACTTGGGGTCCTATTCCAGTTGCTAGCTTGATGACACTGGCTCCCATTTATGCCTTTGCCTGGTGGGGTACTAGTGCTGATCCTGTCAGCAGGCCCTTCTGACCACATCCTGGGGCTGGCTCCTGGCTCCCTTCAGTGCCCAACCCCAAATTGTAACCCCATCTCTCCACTTACTTCTTGCCCTTGCCTTTTGCCCCGTTCTTTTCACCATTCAGAACCCTGAGAAAGGCACTTCCGAGGTTCAGGTTCCCGGAATCAGGACCCAGCGGCCAGTGTAGGTCATTTATATGCTTTTACAGCCTCAGTCCACCTTGTGGACTGGATTAAGATCAGGACCGGGTGTAAACTCGAACCTAACCGTGGAACATTCTGTTCAAAAGCTCCTGAAGGGGAGTTCCAGATCTGAGATGACAATGGAGGCTGCGAGGTGTCGATGCAGGCAACTGAAATCTTTTAGGTACCAGTCAGCATTGACAGGATTTTTTTGCTTTTAAAGATTAACTTTTATTTATGCATCCAAGAACTGGGGTGAGGTGCAGGTGTGTGTATGAAAGACCAGACAAGTTATTACAGTAGCTAGTAGATGTGAAAGACAGGGAAACATTCTCCTGCAAACAAACCCAGAGGAGGAATGCAGCCCAAGAGAACACTTAACACTTATTTTTAACCCACCGAGACACTGACTTCTGAACTCCAGGAACTGCAAGTTTGTCTTAAGCCAGAGTTTTTTTGTAATTTCTTACGGAGCAATAAAAAAAAATATATTCAGTTTTTTTTAAGATTTATTATGCATACAGATGTGCGGTACAGGCCAGTGGTGCAAGGGTGGTGATTGTCCAGAGCAGAGTGGCAGCAGCACAAGTCAACTGACAAAGCACACTACTGAGGGAACCAGTGGGCAGGCCAGGAAAGGTCTGCTGCGCCATTTGGGCCATATCCAGGGTGGGGATCAAACTCATACTTAAGTGGCTTTAGCGTCTCAGTGCTGTGCTTTAAATTGCTGTGCCACCAGGGAGGGCCCAAACCCAATTCCTTTAAATCCCAATCTTTTCCAAAGGCTGCAGGGGCTCCATCCAGGGATGCTGCAGCCCCTTAACTGGGCAGGCTACTCCACTTCTGTTCATGTTTCAACTCAGTTTCCCTCAGTAAGGTCTTAGTTAGCAGTTCCTCAGGGGGTCTTGGCAGCCCATCGCTCAGTTCCTACTCTGATAGGCACAGCTTCCTGCACCAGGTACATACAGGAGGTATTGGTAAGGGCCCCCAAGAACCTGAATATGCATCTACTCCTAGAATAGCCATTGTCCAATGCTTAATCAGAATGTAAAAGCAGTGCCTCTGCTCCTGGTAACGCAGCTTAGGCAAAGCACTCTCCAAATCAGAACACTAAGGACTTAAAAAAAAAAAGCAACTTTATTCAGCAAAGATTGTGTGCCAATTTCAACAGTTGGGCTGCAGAAGACTTCATGTCCTCTGAGAATTGGTTTCCCACTGGATGGAAACTGCAGGTACTCCGCAGTGCTCACAAGGGGCCACAAGCTTCTGCCAGCAGTACTAGGTCTGCTTCTGGGCATTCTAGTCACTGCTTCTTTAAACCTAGGAAAACATACAAATGCTATTTCTACAAGTTACTTTTCTTTTCCCAGGTTTAGAAACAAACACTGATGTTCCCTCAGACAGTTCCTTCTGGAACAAAGTTTCCTCTCTTCCCCCAGCCAGCCCCAGTGGGTTCACCTTTACAGGCTCTGGGGCTAGGACAGGAAGTAAGACATGTGAATGTCTCTTCATCGGGAAATTTAAAATCTGCCCACTTTGCAAGAATTTTGCTCACCTTAATTTTAGTATGGAGTTGAGCAGACACTCAGCTTTTTAGTTTCTCTGCAAAAGAATAATTGGGAGCCAATCAGTAGCCCCGAGAGGCCCCTGTTGGAGGAAAGGCACACTTGCACAGGCTCCTATAGTCACAACTAGCTTGTCTAGGAAACTTCACATTGGCCATAAAACCACTTCCCACTATCTTCATTCAAGAAAAGCTCACAGCTCAGAAATACCTTTCAGTCACAGTGATCAGACTGGGGCGGTATTGAACTCATCACTGGTGAGTTAAAACTTGTCAAAGACAGCTTGGGTTTAGCCAGTAACATCTCTGCTTGGCTTTCCAAAGTGCTACACATCTAGCCAATTTTATATAACATTGAGAAGACAGTGCAGTGTTCTTACCTGAAATCACTCCTGGTCCTAAATAAGGTGTTGGACCTACAAAAACAGGACAGTTAGAGGTGTTTTATCTGCCACATGTTGTTCTCACATAAGCTACCCTTCCTAGAACATCAGATTTTTGAGTCTCAACAGCAAATCATCAGCCGAACGAGATTCCATGTAAGTCATCACATATATATGCCTAAATAGGCATATTTCTACCAAAATATACTGTGTGCACTAAATACATGGAAAGTGACTCACCTTGGAGCAAACAAGCAGATTACTGCCAATAGTACCTAAGAAAAGAAAACTAGCTGTGAAAAGTTCCCTATACAAGTTTCCCAAAACTTACAATTTTCTCCAGTTTCTCAGGTGTTCATGTATTTTCATTGTGTAAATCATAGTGAGCTAGTTTGATTCATCACAGAAACTGCCTACTTGGTGTAAGCCAGAGACATAAATCAACTAACCTTGTAACTACAGGTCTCTGAACAGTAGACAGGAACACGGTCCTCCTGAACAACAACAACAAAAACCCCATCAGGGCCTACCCTGGTGGTGGGCGGGTTAAAGCACAGCACTAAGAAGCTAAAGCCACCTCCGCATGAGTTTGATCCCTGCCGCCCCAGAGGTGACTGACCACATGTTGTGGCAGATCTCTCCTGGCCCGCCCGCTGCTCCCCTGAGCAGTGTATTTCATCTATCTGCCTGTTATGCTCCCTACTCTGTCTCTGATGAGTCCTCTCACCACCCCTGCACCTCTGGCCTGTACCCCAGCTCTGTATGTACAAATAAATCTTAAAAAAAAAAAAAAACAAACAAAACAAGCCCATCAAATTAGCAGAGTATCTAAAACCAGGATGAATTATTTTAGCTATGGTTAATGTAAAGACTAAACAAACCAAGCAAATACTATCTCCAAACATCCACTTTATGTCTCCTGATGGAACAAATTCTCATCCTCTCCCAGAGGAAGGACAAATTTGCTTGCTCTCCTCACTAGAATATTTAATGTCAAAATACACACCACTTGACTTTTCTTGGGAGTCAAAGACCCTGCGGAGCTGCACAACAGGCATCTAGGAGAAAACAAGATATCAGCAATGGCTTTTATGTAAATGCAGTAAGTTATTCCCTTTCTGGGAGAAGCAACTTACTTGCAAGAGATGAATCCACCATCAGCACCACCTGTGAAAGGGGAGCAAATGCAAATGGTTACTTAGAAATTATTAGAGTGTAATGAAATTTCTCTAGCAGCAAACTGCCATCAGAACTCTAACATGCTATTAAAGGTACCTCACAGAGGATCAGTGTATCAATTCAAATCATCTGACAGTGATTTGTAGGGCAGAGAGCTTCACCTTCATTAACAACTTGCTGCTCTCTCCTACCCCAGGACATTCATTCCAGGATGAACAAACTGGCAACGTTGCCCTGGACCTGCTCTCCTGGAGATGACACCCCCAACCTCACATTTGACCAATTACCTTATTCACATCAGGAAATAGATCAACTCCAGACTGGTGATTGAGTTGCTAGAGACAGAAAAAGGAGGCATCACAAGTGTCCAAGAAAAGCACCCCCAAACACTTTAGTGCGCTCCCGGCCCACTTCTCAGTATTAAGATGACATCACTTTTAAGTTCAGTCATATGCTTGTCATTTCATGTTCATCATGGAGGGGTCGTTAAAAGCAGTCTGTAGGAGTAGGTCCCATCTGAACACCATTCCTCCCAACCATGATGTATTAAACCACGAAGACCCACCTGGGGCACGACCATCAGGCTGGATCTTCACAGGGATCGTCCTTGCCATGTTTATGGTCTTTGGAGCTTAGCCACATCTAAAAATAACCGAAAAGCAACCTGCTCTTAAATTTACTTCTCTCCAGAGATTAGCACCTTAACGCCTCAGTAAAAATAAAACCCTTTATTTGCGGCGCGATGTGGTGCTACTCAGAATTTACGTGGTTTCTCCAGTAACCCATCAGAAAGAGAGAGTTCGATTACTGATATCATCCCCGTAGCACACCTCAAAGCTCCCAGACGCCCAACAGAGAACAAAGACGACCACGAACACTTACCCCGACCAGGCAGGCCTTCCCCATCCTCTAGCGCTCAACGTGCGCGCGAGCCCTGCAAAGAAAACATGAGGTCAGCGGTGGGTATTTCGCCACGCTCCCCTTTCCGGAAATACGCCTGCGGACGGCTGCACAAAGCCCGGCTCCTCAGAGTTTCTTTTCCTCACGGAGCTCAGTACAGGTCTGTGAAAAGGTGCTCATCATGGAGAAGCGCGCCGGCACCGCCCGCAGACGCCATTTTGCCCTTCACTAAATCCCGCCGCCCCTTCGAGACCACAAATCCCTAGCGGAGGTCACCTCCGGCCCGCTTCCCACCAGCCAGGTAGGTGCAACACAAACGGAGGCCCAAGACCAGTTAGATTAACGAAGATATCAGAGTTGCACAAAACAAAATCACACACTTACCCACACAGCACGAAAATGTGAGGCCGAACACGCACCGCGCTACACTTAAATACTGTCTCGTAGAGGCTCACGGGATTTGGGGGCGGAACTTCTATAGGCGCACGCGCACAAGGAAGGGGCGCGAGCTCCTGGGGCTTGTGGGTAAAGGTTTGCTGTAAGGTGGGCGTGGCAAGCGCTCCTTTCAGGAGTTGGGGGCGCGAAAAGGTGCGCATGCGCTCTGAGGCGGGGGTGGTGGAGGACGGATGCTGGTATCGCATTGCGGCGGAATCTCTGCTACCTTCTTGAGATTCTGAGCACCGAGACCCGCGTTTAGCGCGGATCCTGCACTGATTCCCATTCTCTGCCCCAGCTGTCTGCTCTCATACCCTTCCCTGAGTCTCCCTTGTCCACAATCACCCTAAACCCTTGTGCTATGTCCGCCTCTATGGATCCCGAGCTTCCAGAATCCTCGATCGACGTCGTCTCGGTTCCAAACCAGCCGTCCACTGCGCAGTCCGATCCTGATGTTCAGGGTCCCAGCGAGGGGGGCGACTCAGGTACTGGGCCCCGGAATGGATTCGGGTAGAGAACCCTTGCATGGAGGCATTTCTGGAATTTGGCTATGGGTTGTCCACTTGAGTCTTGAGGGCGGTCGGGTCTGATTTTTCCTGCTGTCTGGTTTGGGTTCGCTAGGGCTTGGCCTGTAGTAGGGTTAATGGTTGCTAACATTTGAGGCACGATCTACTTGAATGGATTACTTTAATCTACCAAAACCCCAAGAGGTATGTTCAGTAAGGAACCAAGCCGCATAAGTTCATAAATTGTTGTGGTAAAGAGTGTACGTGCACGTTTTATATTCATTCATTAAGTTCTTATCTGCTTTTCTGTATGGACTCACCTAATACTATCACCTCAGGAGGAGGGTTTTTAGATAATGATGTAGCTGAATAGTAGAACATAAAACTGGAGGCAGTTTCCAAGGGGGAAGCCAGATGAGAAGGGCCTAGTGCACAGCTAAATAATTTGAACTGTAGCTTAGTGAAGTTTAAGGCCAGTGAAAGTTTCTGAGAAGGGAGGTCGTAAGAAATTGAGGAATAAGATGACGACAAGTATTTTGGATTGCCACAGTAATTTAAACAAGATTCTGTACTGATGAGTAATGGCAGTAGAATTGGAGGGGATTTAGGTCAAGGGTGATTTACTTCACATACCTATAGGAATGCAAGTTATGTAGAGAAGCAATTGGGCTTCCCTTTCTTAACTGATTGTTGCTTGACTAGAATGTTCTCAGAAAAATCTAACCGAGAGAATCCAAAGAT